TCTTATTTTGAACACTGCAGAAGGCTACCCTACTGTAAAGCTACGTAAATAGTAATGTAAAATGGGTTGCAGAATTAATATATTGTTTGACATTGTATATGACAATATATGTTTGACTCAAATACTCAAGAACTGTGCCTGTTTAATTATTCACCTATCGATTTCGAAAATGGGACGGTGCAAAATGGCGTTAAATTCAATCTTGACAAAGAATTAAACGACTGTTAGCTTGGAGATAATATAACTTACAGAATATGTTTCAATCGGTATAGTACGTTTTGGCGCAGACCATTACTAGCTGTCAGTGCTCGATGCTGTGGTTACCACTTTGAATCTGTACAACTGGACAGTGGACATCAGCATCAACTATTTGTTTAGCCCATAATTTTATATATCGGTGGGAAGCTCTTCATAAGTGAAGTACGATGTCGTTTTCTCATTGTAATGGCTAGATGGCTTCACGGGGCCGCACAGAGTTGTATAGCAAATTTAAAATCTTTGGAATTCGAATATTTGACATATGTTTTGCGATACTTACATCCCAAATTGCCATCGACAGCAGTTTGATGAAGGAAAACAAAAAGAGAATTATGAGATTTGTCTACAAAGTGAGAGGTTCTAATTCTTGGATCAGTGACTTATTGTAAAGTTACAGCCGTCACGCAGCCACCACAACAGTTGTGACGTTGTGAAGTTTTTTATGTGCTTAGAGAATTTTCGATCAACGTACAAATGAGGGATCAAATCATTTATTTGAGTCAGTGATCATCTATCAGTTATATCGACTCTTATTTCAAAATAAACGAAGCTCCCTGACCTAGTGACCTCGCTTAGCCACCACGGTGGAATCATAAAATAAAACGAAAATCTTCGCATTTCATCGTGGTTTCGTATTGTACTCTCAGAGAGTTTGCCATTGATAAGCTGAGATCAAGCAATTCATGCAGATTGAAACCAGCAACTGCATTACTGCACGCTGACTTTATGGCTTTGCACAGTTATCGAAACGGGCTTATTATCAGAAATACAGCCCCATCGTCCCTGAATCACATTAAACGTTTCAGTGATTAATAACATGATATGCTAAATCAAGTAGTTATTGCGGATGACCATTATCCATTCACGCAGATTCAAAGCTATGACCTTAGCACCAAGCATTGACAGAAACCACTGGTCTGCTTCTGAGCAACTAGCACCAGTATGCCCTGTTCCGT